CTTCCTTGGAGTTTCTGACCCCACGTTCTCCTTATAAATGGGATCCACACTCCTTAGCAGTATTTAAATGGTACAGACTACGCTTCCCACACCAGTCTCACCTCTTGCCATGGCCATGTTCAAGTTCTATGCTATAGTGCCTGGGAATTCTTTCAGTTCCTAGAGCAAGCCATATCCTGTTTTTCTTCTGATCTTTGTGCATCCTACTCACTTTTTATTTACCCAGTTTTGCAAATTCCCCATATCTGTGTTGAATGCTCCTACGATGTGCTCCTAGGGCGCCTGTACGTCCACCACCAACATGTTTATTAAACTGTCTGCTTATCTGGCCAAGCTTCATGAGGGCAGGACCCATGTCTACCTTCTACCGCGTTTAAAGCTACGTCACTAGCGCAAGTATGATGGCCAGCTCATGGCAGGCATCCAATAAGTGTCAGCGGAATAACTGAAGACACACAGAGAGGGAGAATCGAATGCTTACAAAAAGATACACATTGTCATATTTTTTCTTTAATGGGCCAGCAGAGCAAATGAAATTACAGAGAGACCAAATTTGGTCTACAGAAAGACTTTACACTATAACCTAAATTCTCTTGGCCACCTCTTTCTATATTCTTATCAGAGTATCTGATAACCAGTCATCATTTTTTATACAAAATAAACCAAACAGAGAGTCAGAATATCAATATATCAACTCCAAAGGGGTTAGAGAAAGACAACTGTCTAAAGGTTTCAGCATATCTTAAATCTCTACAGAGGTAAATCATAGGGTTTTGAAATACTATGGGAGTGACAATGTTTTATTCTGGTAGTTTTGGTTTTAATTTTGCTCACATTCTAAAATAGGTCTGAAAAAGAGGCAGATTAGCTCTGTTGAAAGAGTAACCCATGAGGCTACTTGGACCATGAGGGCTGTAGACTCTGAAGAAGAAAAACAAACCCCAGCTCAAGCAAAACTGGATTTCTAACCTTGGCAATCACTTAATGTAAGCCAAGCTCTCAATGCTCAAATATCCCAAACACCTTCACTGTTTTATTGAGATGGTTATCACTGGCAAGTACCTTCTTCTTCGGTGCATAATCAGAATTCTTTCAAAGCATGTTGATATTTTAGTTATTTCGAATTGTCTATGATATTTGACTACATTTAGCTACAACTGAAGAGCCTGTTTATAGAAAACATGCCCAGCTGAAAATAGATGTTTCTAAATGTTAACTAGAATAAATATTTTGTTAGATACTATAGTCCCAGCTAGAAAAATCTAGAAAGAATGCAGAGATTATGTCCAGTCTTTTGATAATGAACGAACATGTGAAAAAAAATGTTTTGCACTCAGAAGGCAAAAAGGCTGTGATGAATTGCTTTCCATTTCACTTGTCTGAGTAGATATTACTGTATTTCTATGATATGAGTCCCTGCCCCAAAAAAGAACTCATACATTTATAACTGAAAAATCATCTCTTTTCAAAAACAAACAAACAAAAAACAATCTCTCCAGAGACAGACACTCTAAGCTGGAGGGAGGGAAGGACAGACAGACACCCTTATACATATATGTCTTCCCCAGAGTGACCCAAGAGCAAGTAAAGATGACCTTAGAAATCGTTTGCAGGGATGGGGGTCCTCCACGACAAAAGCACAAGTAAGGAAAAAGTTCTGAGGAAGAGACACTGCCCCGAGTATGGCAGGTATGTTGGAAGCACTGCCCACAACTTTCCACACTGGGGAGCGACCCTGAGAAAGGCAAACCCCTGCCCCTAAGAGCCTGCCAGTTCAACCAGCTTTCACTGGGGCGTCAAAAAGCCAGTGTTATTCCTTTTAACTGAATTTAACTAAAAAAAACATCACCACTATATATGTGTGTGTGTGTGTGTATATATATTCATCCAAGGATGGCAGGAACCACCACATACAGTTTATACTATGGGTCCTAAACAGACTATGAGCCATTTATTAGCATAAATAGTCACGTTGCTCCTTCCATTCTTTTCTTCAAAATTAGGCCAACTAAAGGAAAATGTAAGCTAAAAATCTTGCTGATGAATACACTGACCCAGTCGTTCCTTGGGTTTAAGTGAAAATGAGTAGGTAAATGAGTAGTTAAAACATATTGTGGTTGACTTTTTTCTCCATTTTGACCACTGCTAAATTTTCAATAACTGCAATCATTATTGACCTTACACTGTAATATCACATGATTTATGCTGCTTTCTTTGACTGGGCTCCTTTTCCTCCTTCATTTATTTGCCTAACTCCTACCTGGTTTTTCAGATAGCTCATACACCACCTCTTCCAACAACCTGTCCTTAACCAACCATATCCCTGCCCCGATTTCTCATAATAGTCCTTCTCTCACTAAATTAAGTGTCCTTCCTCCTCTGAGTTCCAAAACCATGTCCTGCATAATGCCTTCACAGGAGTGACCATACAGCACTCTATTTGTTTATAAGACACACCTCCCCAACCAGTCATTGACATCAAAGGCAAGAATCATAGGTCACCTTTATTTTCCAGTTTATTTCACAGTTTCTCATATTTGGTAGACATTCTAAGATGTGCGTGTGAAATGAGTGAACAAATGTATGAATAGACAGATGATGTTTAGACTTAGAAACAAAATTATAGCGATGAGTCTTTAGAAAACATTTAGTCTACCCTACTTCATCCGAAAATTCCCTAAACAAGTATTTCTTAACAACTGTGCCAAGATATTAAAATAAGGAAATCATTATCGATGTTCAATAAAACATAAATATTTTCTAATGCAAACAGCATTAAATAAAAACTTACCGGCAAAGTTCCAGGCAGAGATGCATCAAAAAAAGATACCAAAGAATTTGGAGGTGCTGCAAAGTGGACTTTAGATGCAGAGAAGAGTTTAGAGTTGGAGGAAATCTGGGCATGAATTTCCAAACCTACCACAGCTGTCCATTCGCGTTCACTAAAGAGAAAGATAAAGGTTAAGAAGCAGTTAGCAATGGCCATGCCATCCTGAACGTGCCTGATCTTGGAAGCTAAGCAGGGTCGTGCCAGGTTAATACTTGGATGGGAGACCACCTTGGAATACGAGGTGCTATAGGTGTTTAAAAAAATAAAAAATCAAAAAAAAGACGTGGTTAGACCTGTTACCATACATAAATTCCTATAAGCCTAAACCACAAATGTTAATTTCCTATTTGTTTTGACTTATAAAAATTTTATATCCTTACATTAAATAATGTGTCATATTGTTTGTATTTGTGACTAAATCGAAAGTAATTCAAAATGAACAGCTACAAGGCAGGTAATATAAAATTCATTAACAACATGGCATAAGGAGAGTTCACTGTATAAACAGGAAGGTGATAGAGAAAGGAATAATTTGGCATCTTAAAACAATTTAGATATGGGTATCAGGTGGCAACTGCTTGGCTGACTTCAGTGAAAAGCGGCCTTTTCTAAATTAACTGTCTAAAAATGCGAACATTTTTAGAATTAACATAAACATCAGCATTCTGCAACTAGAGAAATATTGGTAAATAAAGTTGCATATTCCATTATTTAAAAAGAAGGGGTAATTGTCATGTTTGGAATTCATTTTATAACAATGGGTTGCAAATAAAATTACCAGAGTGACACAGATATAATGGGTCACTAGTAAATGATACTCTTCCGGGTAATTTTGTGCAAAGGAAAACACTAAACCAGCAGATATAGCCTTTTTTGGGCCCCCAAATCACTTTCAATTCCAGAGCTCTAGTTTCAGGTTCCTTTGCTGTTTGTTTATGCTTGATTGCTATCAAATCTAAGACGCTTTTAATTGCTGTAATAATTTCTTTTATCTAGCCACTCTTACTCTCTTGGGTCTCTATAAACATTCCATACACAGGCCTCTCCAGGTTCTTCTAAGTGTCCCTTTGAAACCCATGTATCCTGGACCATTTGCAGATAGCTTGGTTACACATACTGTCTTCATATTTTGTCTGCTCCTATCCCGCTCTTCTCTCCAACAATTTTCTATATTATCTAGACTTTTGTTGACATGTGTTGGATTTTGTTTCAATCATTTCAACAATGAAGTTCTATATTTACAATATTGTGAAAAGATGAATTCCTTCTTTTTAAAGTTTGGAAGCACTGCCTGTAATTGAGAAGAATTAAACGAAGAACTCATTAGATATTCTGCATTCACTACAACATTATCCGAAGTATTTTTGCAGTTTCATTACATGAGAGAAAAATATTTCCCATTCATGGTGAGATGATCTCATTTATGAAAAGAAAAGAAACTGAATGCTTCGGGACATTTTCCCTCTGTTCCTCCAACTGAAAAGCAGAAGTAATGCCAACCTAACTTTCTTGAAGGATAAACAGAATGTCGGAGAAGTGCCTTATATTTATGTATTTAAAAAGAAACTAAGTTTTATATAGTTAAGTCTAAACAACTGTTCAGAAGACATCTTGCTAAATAAGCAAAACTCTCTACACAACCAGAGGGAAGGTTTCTTGTATTGGCTGCATCCTCTTAGGTCTAGATATATATACTCAATACAAAGCGACTCCACAGATGGGTGGTGTTTTCTGACTGACGATATTAAGTCACCACCATCCAGAGCTTGTAGGTAAAGGCTTCCTTTCTACCTTAGAACACTGCTGGCCCATAGGAGCGCTAAATGGTAGCCAAGTAAGATCTCGCTCCTAGTGTCAACGACCGCACTGCTGGTGTTCTTAGTAAGGTGACTGAATCCACTCTTCTGTCTGCGTGGCTTTCGATTCAAGAAAACATGTGCGATTTTACACTTGCGAATTCCCCAATATACCTCTCTATTTGAGGACAGCAGTTTACGTGTGGGGGCGGGGTTGACAAAGGGCCAATTTTGTGCTTTCAGGGCTGCGAGTTAGAGCCCAACACCCACCCCCTCATCAAAGCGTCTAAATTGAAGGCTGGGCTGGAGCGGCCACCGTCTCCCCAGTCCCGCAGGTCTTCCACCCCCACACTAAGTGGGGAGTAATGGTACGAAATAGTATACCCTTTCCTCAGCTTCTGGGCCGCGCTGAGAAGCTTCTGAACCACTGATCTCTGTCCCCTTTTCCCGCAGAACCAGGACCCAGGTGGAGCCCCTCTTCCGTGGCGAGAACCGCGGTCAATGCTGGCTAAAGCCCAACGCCTTCCAGGACAGCACCAGCGCAGTATGGGCGCCGCCATTGCCGCGCCAGGGTCCTGGTCAGGTGACACAACTGTCCTCTGCCGCGAGACTCTCTGGGAAGTGTAGTTCTGAACATGGGTAAACTGACACAAGCTCCGGCCGGAAGACTACTATTACCGGTGAGCACTGCGAATCGAAGGCTGCCGGAACCCTGGCGGGGAGGGGAGGGAAGGAGAACTAGAGGAGAGCGTAGGCGGGGTTCCGGGTCGGAAGGTGTGACTCCTCCTAGCGGGGAACTGGAGAGGTTCGTGGCTTGTGAGCATGTTGTATGAGTTTGAGTGAGACCTAAATCTGGCCGGGATTTTATACCCGTTAACCTTTCGAGCTCTCCCAAAGACTTCCTGAACCCTCACACCCACTCAATTATTTTCTCTCTCTTCTGCCACTTCACACACCAATTTGTGCATTAATACAACAAATATTTATTTGCTACCTACTGTATGCCGGGGACAGTTCTTAGGAACTGGGGATGCAACAGTGAGGAAGACAGATATGGCCCTCATGCTCATGGAGCTGACATTCTTGAGAGAGGAGACATACAGAAAAGTTAACAAAAATGGGATCCTTTCATACAGGTGTTAAGCGCTATGGTTAAGCAGTGGTCCTTGGGTCTCAAATAGACGTAGGTTGAGACTTTGGGTGCATTTTAAAACAGGCATAACTCATATTGTCACACTTTGATTTATTGCACTTAACAGGTGTTGTGTTTTTTTATAAACCGAAGACAAGACCCTCCAGGAGCAAAAAGATGACAACTCGCAGCGATACTCCACTTTATCACGGTGGTCAAACCCGCAAAATCTCTGAGGTATGCCTGTACTCGCTTTATTATACTGATCTGGAACGGAGCCTTCGGTGTATCTTTCAGGTATGCCTGTATTATCCTTTTTGTTCTTGGCCAGTATTTCAAACGGTCTTCTTATATGCGAGGAATCCTTGGTAGCAGACACCATCATCCCAGCCGACTTCTTTTATTTTCCTGCTTCGGAATTCATACCCCTCGTTCAAACTCTCACCGATTTCTTGCATTTGCATGCACAATTTAAAATAGCCATTCAGCCGTACTCTATCATATCACCCTATTTTACTTCTCTACATACTGCTTATGATTATCTGATGTTTATGGGGAATTCATCCTATTTTACGCAGTATTACCAGTGCACAAAGTAGGCCCCTCAGAAATATTCGTTGAATGACAGTGCAGTGTGGAGAATGCATTTGACAAAGGATGGAGTGGATGCCCTTTGGAGTACTGGTTTTTAGGAGGAAGACGATGAAATAGTGTGGGGATGGAGGCAAAGAAAAATCGACATGCGTGAGATAGATTACAGAGGTAAGATGGAAAGACTTGGTCGATGAATTGGATGTGATGGTGGAAGACTAGATGGGGTCAAGCACCTTCTCGATTCCTGGCTTGTACAACCAGATGAGTGATGGAATTATTCACTGAGATAAGGAAATTAGAAAAGAAATAGGTTTGTGAGAAAATGTGTTTGGTTGCCTTGGAGACATACAAGAGAAGTCAAGTAGGCATCATTGATGCCTGGGTATGGAGAAGGAGAAAAAACCTGCATACTCTACATACTTCACACTGGTAGGTTTTCAGTTATTGATCAATAACCTATTAATTAGACTGCTGTGACCTACAATCCATTCCCATTAAGACTACAGTACGGTTTTGATATTATGCAATTTAATTCCTCCATGGAGGCATTTTTAGTTACTCTGCTTAAAATTGTCATTGTTTACTTTTTCTATCCTTTTTAATTTTATTTTTGCATTCACTATCATTGATCAGCATTGCTACACCAGAAGTATTTTCACATGACCAAAAATGAAAATGAGAGAAATGACAGAGTCTGCAAAGTAAAGGTGGGGATGTTTGTTCCAATATTTATCTCTCATTACTGCCCTTTCTATCAGGTTCAGATCACTCTTTAGATCCTTTAGTAGTTTCTCTCCTCTAAGTGTCCACATTTTCCACTTTTACTCTAGGTAAGCTTGCTTGCTTTTTCTCATTTAGTTCCTCAGGTTTTTCTGGTCCAGACTGGGGGTCAGAAGCTGCCTCTGATCACAACTGGTTCCACCTTTGACAGGACTGCGTAGGAGAGGGGAATCCTGTCTCTTGGAAGTGAGCGTGAGTGTTGTTGGGCCGAAAGGAAAGGGGCCTCCTTGCCACCTTTCTGCTGGTGATCTGCTCACTTAAGAGACAAATCCCTGCCTGATGGGAGGAGTCAGGAGTGTTTTAGAAAACCCGTGTAAGAGACAGCAGCATAACTAATGAAAATCGAAGTTTCATGAGCAAAATGCACTTCACCTGTTAATGAAGCAGCGCTGCACAGTGATAGCATAGCACTTCAAAGGCTCCCACCCCACCGCTAGAGGGAGAGAAACTCCTGTGCATGTAAGTGTACTTGATTCCTTTCACAAATGGAAACCTAGTTCAATGCATATTGCACAACCCTTTCAAAATCTCGTAAGAACTAATGGCTCCCTTTTCCCCTAAGGTCATCTGTCATTTTTGGAAATGTCCATTGGTTTCCTCGGGCTTGATCTAGTGCCTAAGAGTGCACTGTTTTCCAAGTGCCCCTCCTGCCTTGCTCCTTAGCTAGTCAGGTGCTCTCACCGAAACATCTACCATGGGACCATTTCTTGCCTTCCTCCTGCATGCCAAGTCTGATACCTGTCAGAGCTCTTGCTGACAGACAGCTTTCTAGCTGAGAGAGCTATTTTGGTTCCACCGAAAAGGTGGCTGTCATCTGGAAGACACAGAGGTTTTCATTTTCAAGAAGCTCAGAAGGTAGCAGGATAGGGTTTCTAGCAAAAACATTTTCTTAGGGAGAGTTTCTCAGCTCTTATTTTACTCGTATAATTGACACAATACAAATAAACTTAGAAGAAGTTTTTAAAAAGAGAGCATAGTTTCAAGTTATTATTTATAATAATAACAGCAGTAGTTAAGAGTATGTCTAAAGTATTATCCTTGGTTTTGTTTAGTGTTCTTCAGAGAGTCCCTGCACATCAGAGTTGGAACGCACTGGCTTGCCTCTGTGTTTGACTCAATATCCAGAGCTATCTATATAAACATCCCCCCCCAAATCTAAGTTGTGTTTAATTGTAATCACTCCCTCTCTCATTCTTTCCCTGGTTTGGGAATGGAGGTATGATATAAAAACATGGTAGTCTAGGATTTACAGCATCTTCAGTAACAAGGGTAAAATGTGAGGGAAGGATGCAAGTGGTTGTAAGTTTCCATTTTTTTAAAAGGAAGTAAACAATTGTAATGGAAACATTTACATTTCAAGTAATATTAAAAGGAGATAGTTTCTATCATTTTAATAATGTATCATGGCAGTGTATCTAAAAGTCTATTTATATACAATTTTGAATCTTAAAATTGTGTTAATTAACCTATTCTTTGATGAACTACTTTTGCCCTATAGAAACAAAGAGAGTACTTTAATATAGACATTTAGCAGGCTAATAAAGTGCCCCTTGCAGTCTAACAGAGCTGGATATAGATGGTTATCTTAGTATTTCTTAACACAGTTTTGAGTTTGGTCTCTCTATGGGACTGTTAGTTTCTATCTATTCTATGGCTTTAGCACCCAGCCTGCTGTCTTGATATTTCATGTCATGTGGGGAGGAAGGGAGGGTAACTAGGTCAATATAAATTCTCTGGAAAAAGAAAAAATAAACACTTAAGATGGTATACATACAAGAAAAATTGTTAGCATTATTTTCATATAGGAAGCACTAGAGGAAGCCCTGTTTTTGAAAAAGCATTCTAAAAACATAAAGCTCCTTCTTAGAAAAACCACATCTTAAGACGCAGTTAAGTGTCATTATGGGAAGAAGAAAAACTGGGAATATGTACATGCTGGGCAATTGGGGGAACAGGATTCATTTCCTTTCATTTTACCATTAAGTCCTGATTCTGATAAAATACTGATGTGGAGGGAACAATTGCTTCCTAGAAGACTGCTTCGAAGCAAAGAAATCTATAACTTTTTCTTCCCTTCCAAGGCAGGGAATAGAACACCCTGTCCAATGCTTTTGTAGAGATGAAGTGCCATCTGGGGGAGATGAGGCCAGCACACAGCTGCTAATAGGTTTGCCTGGCCCATAAACTGTAATCTCTCCACATCCTGTCTTCTTCTATCTGGTCTCAAGGGATGGTTTACTGTTTTCCCAGGCCTTTTCTTTTCTAGAAATCTGACTAATCCTGAAAGCAAACTGGAATTATGTGTAAGAAAGAAATCCCACTCTACACATCCCCATGACTCACCACTTCTTTGATAGAAGATACTCTTCAGTCGAAAGTAACAGGTCGTAGAATGTGTTCAGCTCTGTGTCCTGGAAGCTATGTTTAGCATGTGGTCAGATTCCTGCTATGTACTAAGAAGCTCTGTCTTTTGTGTTTTGGAGTTGAGTATTTGGCCTTCGGAATTACAGAGCTTATACACACACACAGGTGTGCACATGCACACACACAACTTCTAAGCAGTATTTTATTTTAAGATCATGCACAAATAATGATCAAGAACTTTGAGTTTTAAAAACATAATATTTTTATATGTTAAATGGTTCTCTTGATTTTAAGTCTAAAGATTTTGAGGAGCACAAGTCTGGTGTTAAAGATCTAAGCCGCCAAGATGCATGAGCTTTGATGACACGTTTTCCTCAGCAAATGAACTACTTGATAATTAAAGGGAAGATGTATCCGAGTCCACCAGGGTGGTACAAAAGAGAACAAGAAGGCTTATCTCACACATCCTGCCAGGTAATCAGTGTCATTACCAGCGAGTATCTGAACTGAGATCTCTGTATCTAGGCTGCCCTTGAACCAAGAATGGATGGGCTGCACAAAGCAATAAAGGCCGAAATCTATTGGTGGCAGAGCCTTCAGGGTTCACCACAGTTTAATATATGGCCATTGAAAGGAAATTTAGTGTTCCATGAAGAGATGCCAGATTGAATTAAAATCAAGCAATTCAAACACAACAGCAATCAAACGATACAACTACTGAGATAAATGCAAAGAA